GCGCGGGCCCGGGGGCCGGGCAGCAGCTGGCGAAGCCCGGGCAGGGCCGCACACGGCTCGGGGAGCCGCCTCGGACAAGAGGGCTTCGCCACCGCCGTCCGTGCTCAGGCTGCCAGGCCTGCTCTCCTGCTCCGTTCCCCTCCAAACGCTGCACAGAAATCTCCACTCCCGCTTGTCCCTCGCTTCTAGGCACCTGACCCTTGCTATACACCACCCAGCTGCGCCTAACTGTCTCCAGATGTAGAAGGAGTAAGTACAGCTCAGCTGAATGAGTGCAAAGATGGGTGTGTGCCTATGGATAAGCAGTAAATGCTGGCAGATGCATAGGAATGTTTGCACAAGAATATCTTGAAGGAGGAATGAGTGAGGACGGCAAAAGTAGCTGGTTATTGGTAGAGAACTGTTTTCCCCTTCCTCGCCTCCACATCCCTTCCATGTGCGTGCTAAAATTCTCTTTCTCTGTGCATAACAGATCTAATGTAACAGGTCTTTTTCATGTGTCCTACATTGCAAGTCATTTTCCCTATTCTCTTAAAAGGTATTGTTTCCCCAACAGTATAGGTGGACAGTTATTTAATTTAAAAAATGCTTAGTGGAAGATAGATGTCTGGCTAATTCATTAAAGTATGGGTAGTTACTACTGAGACTGTGGAAGAGGAAGCTGAGAGGTGAATAAAATCCTTCTGCTCCCATCTTAAGAAATTAGAAGTGGATAGGCCAACAAAACCTTTCATCATTTATTTTTATTTTGATAATATAATAGCCTTTCTGGACTTTCCAAAAACAAGAAGATGGATGAGGAAAATACAGACCCCACAGAACGCAAAGCATGGAGGAGATGGAGAAATCCTACTATATGGCAAACAGAAAAGAAAGGAAAATGGAACAAGGCATAAGGTCCTAGGACTGCACATGGCCTGTGAGAAGGTTGAGAGAGTCTGCAGTAGTGATCTGTAACAGAACTGCCTGATGGGACTGCCAAATAAAATGTGGCTGCTACTAAAAAATACACTGCAATGAAAAAAAAAATATGAAGACTATTCAGTTTAAGCACTTGACTAAATGTTTCCTGATACAGTGCTACTCAAACATTAATACAATAGAGTTGGGGGGTCATTGGCAAACAAAACGTAACTATAACAACCTAACACCAACAGTAAATAAAGGTGAGTAATGAATTATTCTAGTACTGGATAAGATTATTTTACCACAGACTATTACATGCAAAGTATTTTTTTTTTAACTGCAAAATAGAATTCAGGATTCGTGGAAGGTTTCAGTGTCCTGTCCAAGACGAAAAATAACTATTGAAAAAATGCCAATTAAACTAATTACAATTAAACTAATGTTTGATTATACATAATATATGTATTTATATGCATATGAACTTAAAAAGACATCAGATTCAATTGGCTGAATGGCTTACTGTTATCAGAAATACCTTTCACCATTAGACATACCTTTTTCACACTGGAGGGAATCAGAGGGGTCTGTTAGAATGGCTGTCATTATTAACAAAAGGCGTTTCACATCCATGTAAACCTAACTGTAAGAACATCAGAACAGAACAGCCGTACTGGGTCAGACCAAGGTCCGTTTAGTCCAGCATCCAGTCTGCAGCAGTGGCCACAAAGAAAGTGCCAAGGGAAGAGTCTAAGAACAGGGAAAGCTAGGTCTTCCAGGTACTTTCCCAGCCTCCAAGCCTTTGCAGCCAACGGGCTAAGCAAGCCAGAGATGTTTTCCCTTTCTTGAACTTGTCTAGTCTCCTCTTGAAGCTGTGTAAATGCTGAGACTCTGCAACATCCTGCAGCAGGGAGTTCCACACATGAAAAACAAGGGATGAAGAACTGCGTCCTTTTGTTTGTTCTGAGCTTGCCATTTGCTAGCTTCACTTCATTTGATACACCTGTGAACTACTGGAAAACACAACCTCTTTATGGCCGTTCGGACTTGGCCTAAATTTCTTTCTCTCTCTCTCTCTCATTTGCCGCTTTTCCAAGCAGAAGAATCCTAGTTAAGTCATTTCTCCTACGGACGTTTTTCCACGCTTCTGGTCACCCTTGTTCGTCCTCTTTGGTTCTACCAGATCCTTTTTGAGATAGGGCACAGCGTTCAACATGTGAGTGCGCTGTGGATTATGTGACATTATAATGATGTTCTCTGTTTTGTTCTCTATTGCTTTTTTCTGCTGTGGAGTGCTGACCTGACGTTTTCCTAGAACTAGCATAATCCCAAGATCCCTTTCCTTAGTAATAATGATCAGCTCAGAGACCATCATTTTGTGAGTGAAGTTAAGATTGTTTTTACGTGCATCACTTTTGCTTCATCTACATAACATTTCACCTGCCATTTTATTACCTACTCATTCCATCTTGTAAGGTCCTACTGCAGTTCCCCATAGTCAGTCCTCAGTCTTACTACCTTGCATAACTTAATATCATCATCAGCCTTTATCAGTACTATGAATAGGTCATCTATGAATAGGTTGAACATCAGCGGTTTCCGAATCCCCATGGAACACCCCTGTTGATCTCCCTTCATTGTGTGAAATGATTTCTTAGTCCTGTTCTCTTTCCTATCTTAATATCAATTATTTATCAAACCAGGACCTTCTCTCTTATTTCATGGTTGCTTAGTTGCCTTAAAAGCCTTTGGCAGGAGATCTTGTCAAAAGTATTTGGAAAACCACATAAATCATTTCAGCCTTCTTATCTACATGCTTATGAATGCCTTCAGAAATCTCCAGTGTGCTCCCAATACAGAAAAGCTGTGCTGACACCCCCCAAAAATCCTATTTATCCTTGTGGCCGCCAAGTCTATGCTTTATTATAGTTTCTGCTAATTTGTCCAGCATGGACACCAGACTAGCCAGCCTGTAGATCCCCAGCTCTCCTCTCATACCATTAAAAATTGATGTCATATTTATGAACTCCATGTCCTCAGGAACAAAGGTGGCTTTAAGATGTTGCACATCAGAGTTAGTAATTCAGCTGTTTCCTCTGTGAGTTCCTCTGGATCTCAGAGTGAGTGTCATTTGTGCCTGATGCCTTGTTACTGTTCAGGCAGATCCCTCCTATTCATACTCTGCAAAGAAGTATGAAGAGGAAGAGGAACCTCTCCTGCCTCTGCCACAATGCAGACAGATGCCAAGAACTCATTTAGCCTCCCTGATATGGCCTTATCTTCTCTGAGTGTTCTTTTTCTACCCTTATCAACCGTTGGCCTTTCAGACTCTGAGAGGCTTGCAGCTTCTGATATGCATGAGAGATGATTTCGTAGTCTTTTACATAGACTCCCTTTGGACAGCCATTCCATGCCTGTGAACTGTTTTTCTTTTTCTTTGTTTTTTTTTTTTTGACTCAACTTCAGTTTTTCAAAGGATGACTTATTTCTGCTAATAATTTGTCTTATCCCTGTGGTCTAGTTGTGCCAGCTTCCTTTCACCGTTTCTCAAGCTGTTCTTGATTGGTGGTATAAATTTGCTGCATCTTCCACATGGTATTTTTCAGTAATTCCCATGCCACCTGCAAGAACCTAACTCTTTTTAGCATTCTTATCCAGCTTTGTGTTTAACAAGCTATGTCATTTTGTACTGTTTCTGTTGAGCACAACTCTGGTGGATTTGGGGGGCTTTGTAGAAACCTTTTGTCGTTTCTGCAAAGATACGAACTCAAAGCAAGTTACGATCGCTGTTCCAGTGCAGCTTTTCAACGCTAACATTTTGAAACACCTCCTGTGTGCTGCTCAGAATCATAAGGAGGGTTATTTCTCCACTCATATACTCCCTAAGTAGTTGCTCCTCGATATAGTTATTGGTAGCATCTAAAAAATTTGTTTCTGTGTCACGCTCCCATGTCACGTTTTCCAAGTGAACATGGGGCATAATTCATCTTTCCTTCTTCTTCCTTTCCTTTCTTCTTCTTTCTGTCTTCCTTCCTTCCTTTTTTCTTTCCTCTTCCATAACAAATAGAGGCATGCTTAATGTTGGTATTCTACTACTGCGTTATTTATTTTGTCCTTTATAGTAGTTATAGGTGTCCATCCAAATGAGCGTATTAAATAATACTGTCTTTCCAGAAACCTGGATGAAATCCTAAACAAATACTGTGTAGTCATGTGGCAACTTACCTGCATTTGTATTAAACTAATCCGAGCTTACAAGAAAAAAAGGTAATTGCAGCAACACTTCTGAAAGGCTGCCAGACAAATCCCATGATTAAGGCACTCAGAACTGAAACCCTTTAAAAGAGTTTTACTGCCAGCCGGATGTGGCAGAGGAACAATTGTTTCAGGGGCCTTGCTTGTTCTCTCCATGCTTTTGATGTGTCCTTGTGTGTATTCAGTATGCCACTGCCCTAACACACGCTTCCTTGCGCTGCTTTGTTTTTATTAGCCAGTTGCTAAGAAGACTACCTCTGAAAGGAATCTAGTTAGTAGCAGAATATTTCTAATATATTTGAAGACTAACTTGCAAGAGAGATGTGGGGTAGCTACTTCTAAAGACGTCAGTTTTTAATATCATATTAGCAATGTATTACTTGGTTGGGGGCAGGGGTGGAGGCTATACCTCATGTCCATCCAGAAATGGAAATTGTTGCAAGATGCTGTGCTGCTTTTTTGGTAACTGGAGGAAGAAATTTTAGCACCTGCTCCCTGCCCTGAGTTTGCAGGTATCCACATCAAGTTTTAAGGTGCTGATTTATCTTTAGTGTCTTAGCACCCAAGAAACTGCCCGTGTTCCCGTACCCATATCTATCCAGTTGAGACCAGCAAAGAAAGCCCCACAGGCGCTAGAAACCATTGCCAAGGTCTACATGTGACTAAATGAGATTAAACATGAAGACCTTTTAATTTTGGACTTAAATTATCACTTATCATCCAGACTGGCTTATTCCTTTTTCAGTCCAGCATTTGAAAACTGGGGTGTGTTTACATGCATTAGGAAGAAATTGTTATTCAAAGAGGAGAGAGAGTGGGTTGTCTTAAACTGCTATAGTAAGTTGCATCAATGATACCTTGAGAATATAGATGAGCATATTGTAAACATATCAGCTATGTAAATAAATCAGCAAACAAGCAGGCTTTGTGTGGTCTGGCATCTTTGAGGCAAAATGATGCTCTTCATGATTTTTTTTGTTATGTTTTTAGTCATTTCCACATGTCCCAGTCTCTAAGGAATTTTGTAATAAATAAAGTTTTAGGAAGCCACAGCTCTGCCTAAACGTAAAGTGGACAACCTGAATGCTCAGTGACTATTCAGGCCACACCGGAGTACTAATTTTGCTTCCAAATCCTGCATGCATACTGCAGCCAAGTAGCTCAGGATAGACTGTACAGGCTGTCTCATCAGAAATCACATTTCTTTTTCATTTCTCCCTGAGCTAGGAAATATCCTTTGTTACTTTCTGTCTGACACCACTGCATGAACTAAGTCCATTTATTCTAGTTGTCTTCTTTTTTACCTCCTCTTCCAAATGATCCAGCTCCCTCTTCAGTTCACCTCTGCTCTCTAGGACTAAGTCCAATAAGTTGTCTGAGGCAATAATCTTCTGGAGAGACAATAATCTTCTGGAGAGGGAACTTATAGAGAGAATAGCGAGAGAGGTAGCCGGAGAGGTAGCCAGAATTCAGGGATGAGGAACTGCTTTATCCTTCAGGAGTACAAGTGATTTCTGTTTCTCGCTTTTCATTTTCAAAGTGATATTTTGTTGTTTGTTTATTTAATCATGTCTCTTAAAGATAACATAACTCTTCAGTCTTTGCATCCCATTCATTAGCCACTGAAATGGATGTCCTTTGTAGTAGGCATCCACTGCATAAAGGGGCCTAAGGCAGTGGGTTGGCCAGCTGCCCACCAGTGCCCACACACAAGACATCTATATTTTCAGAAGCTCAGGCCAGCTTACCACATTCTACTCATGTAATTAATTTTCAGCCTTTTTCTTTTAACTCTCGCCATATTATGATAGTCAGTCCACTAACTTTTTTTGGGGGGGTGGGGGGGTTCCTTCACATTCACTAAACCCTCATTATCAAAAATGAATGGAAGTTACCCATCATTTATGCCACAGTCATCCTTTTATTTTGTCTTTTTTTCACCTTACTTACTTTGTTCAGTGTTTGGAAAACTCTTAGTTTTTATCATGCCTTACACTTGTAGAAATGT